GAAGGATCCAATGTCATAGAAGAAACTGAAAAGAGAGTCAGAGACCTACCCCTAATAAGACCCCAATGGGGTCTTAATTATTCTTAATTATACTTAATTCTTAATTATTCTTAATTTCTTAATTATACGCATCATGAAAAATTAATTTAAGAAACATGAAGTATATAAAAATATTTATATATCTAAAACTATGTAAGGATAGTGGATAAGAAGAGTAAAAAAAAAGGAAACAAATGTGCTTCATTTATTATCTTGTTGGGGTCTTATTAGCTGATTTGTATCAAACATTAAGGGAACAATAAGGGAACAAACATTGGTATCAAACATTAAGGGAATAAATAATAAGTATACTTAAACCACTTTAGACCATAGAAAGGAACGGAACATTTCTTAGCTCATTTTATAAGCGTAGCATAACCCAATACCGATACAACCCAAGGATAGAAAAAAAGAAACATTGAGTAATCTGATGAATGAATATAGATGCAAAACTTGGAAATAAATATTAACACCCAATCCAGGAATAAAGAAAACATTACAATTGAATAGCCTTTATGCCAGGAATGTAAGAGTGGTTCAACGTTGAGTAATAATACAGGTGTCTACTCCAATCATTTTTAAATAGCTTATCAAAATTTGATAATACCGAACACCAAATCAGATGCAAACTCACAGAAAATTAGGAATAGAAGAAAATGTTTTAAAATTGATAAATTATATCTGCTGTGGATCCACAGCAAATACACATAGCAATGAAATGTGAGAAGTACACACATCAAGAAAAATCAATATATCCCTTTGTTGATTTCTGTTGCTTCCAATGAAATGTGGGAGGTACACACATCAAGAAAAATAAATATATTCCCTTGTTGATTTATGTTGCTTCCAATGAAATGTGGGAGGTATACACATCAAGAAAAATCAGTATATCCCCTTATTGATTTCTGTTGCTTCCAATGAAATGTGGGAGGTACACATGTCAAGAAAAATCAATATATTCCCTTGTTGATTTCTGTTGCTTCCATTCAACAGTGTTCATTAGGTTGCAGCTAATACATTAACAGACACAAAGAAATAAGTACTGTACAAACTGGAAAAGAAGAACCACTAGAACCTCTACTATTGTGCATTATAAATCACTGTCCTCTATCTTGAAAACTAAAGACTATAAACTGGAAAAATGAGTTAACTATGGGGGACCATAATCAATACATTCACTCAAGAAATATTTAAAAAAAAAAAAAAAACCTGAAAATAAGTAAATGTCTTTGGCTAGGAAGACTCCATGTGCTGAAGATATCAAGTTTTCTATAAATTTAAGGCAATTCCTATATAAATTACACAACATAATGAACTGAGATTCATCACAGGAGTGCAAGGTTACTTTAACATAAAACAATCAATTGATGTAATATACACTATCAATAGAATTAAAAGTAAAAACCATATGATCATCTACACTGATGCACAAAAATTATTTGACAAAATGTAACACACTTGCGTGATAAAAACACTCAATAAACTAGGAATAAAAGGGAATTTCATCAACCTGACAAAGGCCATCTATGAGAAAGCCACAAATAACATCATATTTGATGGCAAAAAACTAAATGCTTCTCCCTTGAGATCAGGAATGAGATAAGAAGGTCCACACTTGCCACTTCTTTTCAGTATTGTGCTGTAGGTTCTAGCCAGGGCAATCATGCCAGAAAAAGAAATAAAACAACCTGGAATAGAAAGTAAGGAGTAAAACTGTCTCCAACTGGATATATATATCCACTAAGAAACTATAGGAACTAATATATGAGTTCATCAAGCTTGCAGGATACATAATCAATATATAAAAACCAATGTTGTTTCTATATATTTGCAGTATAAAATCAAAAAATAAAATTAAGAAAATAATTCCATTTATAATAGCATTAAAAATAAAATACTTAGGAATAAACTGGCCAAAATAAAAGCAATACTTATTCTCCAAAACCACAAAACACTGTTGAAAAAAATTAAGATCTAGATAAATGGAAAAATGCCTCACGTTCATGTATTAGAAGACTTAATTGTCTTCCAGTTGTTAAGATGGCAATACTTCAAATTGTTCTACAGATTCAACATAATTCCTATTAGCATTCCACCTGATCTCTTTGTAGAAATTCACCTGCTACTTCTAAAACTTAAATGTATTTGATAGGTACCCAGAAGAGCTAAAAGAATCTTGAAAAGTTGGGGAACTCACACTTCCTTTTTTTTTTTTTTTTTTGAGACTGAGTCTGGCTCTGTCGCCCAGTTTTTTTTTTTTTTTTTTTGAGACTGAGTCTGGCTCTGTCGCCCAGGCTGGAGTGCGGTGGCCGGATCTCAGCTCACTGCAAGCTCCGCCTCCCGGGTTCACGCCATTCTCCTGCCTCAGCCTCCCGAGTAGCTGGGACCACAGGCGCCCGCCACTTCGCCCGGCTAGTTTTTTGTATTTTTTAGTAGAGACGGGGTTTCACCGTGTTAGCCAGGATGGTCTCGATCTCCTGACCTCGTGATCCGCCCGTCTCGGCCTCCCAAAGTGCTGGGATTACAGGCTTGAGCCACCGCGCCCGGCCGGAACTCACACTTCCTAATTTCAAAAGTTACTACAAAACCACAGTAATCAAGAAAATGTACTGGCATTACCACAGAAATATAGAGCAACAGAATAGCATCAAGAGTCCAGAAATAAAACCACATTTTATGTTCAACTGATGTGCTGGGGAAAACTTCACAGCTACATGGAAATGAATGAAACTGGACCTTTACCAAACATCATATATAAAACTAACTCAAAACAGATCAAAGACTTAAATGTAAGTGTTAAAAACCCTACAACTCTTAGAAGAAAATATCTGAGTAAATTTGCATGATCTCTGATTTGGCTTAGATATAAAACTAAAAGCATAAACAGCAAAAGAAAAAAATAGCTAAATTGGATTTCATCGAAATCTTTGTGCCTCAAAAGACACTATCAAGAAAGTGAAAAGGCAACCTACCAAAATGGGAGAAAATATTAGCAAAGCAATTACGAGACAAGGCAGTTATAGCTAGAATATATGAAGAACTCCTAATTAGCCAATGATAAAAAGTGGTCAATGGCTCTGAATAGACATCTCTCCTAAGACAACATACATGCGGCCAATAAACACAAGAAAATATACTCAACATCATTAGTCACTAGAGAAATACTAATCAAAACCACACTGAGATAGCAGTTTACACCCACTATAATGAAGAAGTCAGATAATATAACAAGTGTTGGTGAGGATGTGGAGAAATCAGAACCCTTGTGCACAGCTGTTGGGAATGAAAAGTGGTGCAACTGCCATAGAAAGTTTGACAGTTCTTACAGTTCTTCAAAAAGTGAAACACAGAACTATTATATGACCCAGCAATTCCACTCCTAGGTATACACCCCAAACCATGGAAAACAGGCGTTCAAACCAAAACCTGTAGAGGAATGTTCACAGTAGCACTATGTACAAGAGCTAAGATGTGGAAACAACCCAAATGTCTATCAACTGATGAATGGATTTTTAAAATGTGGTACGTATATCCATAAAATGGAATATTATTTGGTCATAAAAATGAATGAGGTACTGACACATGCACAGTATGTAATTTTGAAAACAGTATGCTAGGTGAAAGATGCCAAGGCACAAAAGGCTACATATTATGTGATTCTTTTCAGACAGAATGCCCAGAATTGGTAAACTCATGGAGAAAGAGAGTAGACAATGGTTGCTTAGAGCTGGTGAGGCAAGGGGAAATAGGGGTGTAAGGAAGTGATAAGCTAAGGAGATAATAGCTAAAAGGGTATCCAAGTTGCTTTATGAGGTAACGAAAATGTTCTAAAATTGACTGATGATAGCTGCACATATCCATGAATATACTAAAAACCACTGAATCGAACACTTTAAATGGATGAGCTGTAAAGTATGTAAATTACACTTCAATAAAGCTGTTTTTAAAAGAAAATATTAATAATACAAAGAAAAAGCAATAAGTGCTTCTTGTACCCCTAGTATAAGCTCGATGTCAGTCTACATTATAACTTTACATTTTTCTTAAAGGTATTCACTGATTTACAAATTCCTTCAGTTGTTTCATAACAAGAGAAGTTATTTTAATGTATAATTCTTTTATTTTTTGTCTAGATAAAACTATAGAAATAACTTATCACAGAAAGAACGTGCTGAAGTTAATAACCTGTGTTATTCTCTAATTACCCTTAGTAAACTTCCTGTCTCTACAAGACGTTGCACAAAGCACACTTCATACTTGTCTTTTACTGTCAAATAAAAAAAAAAAAAATCTTATCAGTATGCAACATAAAATCGCTAGATGAGAAAACTCTTTATTGCAGAAGGGTACTGTATTTTGAGATGGACCAGAAAAATGAGGAGGAGAAAGAGCATTTATTAAAGCACGTAACGGGGCACAAATGGTACCGAGAAAGCCTGGGCATCCGTGGCATACACCCACACATTCTGACAACTAGAAGCCACTTCTGAAAGAAGTTTCACTAGAGACCTAAAAGTACTCAGCAGCACAGGGAAATGTGCCTATAACTCGACGTCATACAGCTTTCGGCTCAAAAGTGCCTGACAGCCATCTAAGAGAGAGGAATAATTAAGACTAGAACTAAGCAGAATGAACTTGAAGATCAGGAAAAAATCCATTGAGAATTCCTAACATATCCCATATATAAAAGGGGTTTTGAAGAATACAGAAAGAAACCAAATGTCTTTTCTAAGTCTGGCTCTCCATTAATAAAGAAAAGCTCTGAGCTTTTTAAAAACGTTATTCAAATTTACTCCCCCAAAATTAAAAGAAGTGACAAACACAAGGTGTGAATTCCTAAGCACCACATTTTCATAATATTAAAAGTGCCTGTGGATAAAAAAGTGTACATGTTATGCCATATATTAGCACCATGGGTCTAAGGGTTAAATAAAATCATACTCAGAACAAAAACAACCTACCATTATGTGTTCAAGTAGAGAATCTATTGCAACTATGTTATCAAAATATGTTCTGAAAAAAAGAAACAAAAGTCCTGTAAATAATTTTATTAGATCACAGTACATATTACACTTTGAATACATTTCTTGGTTTTGTCTACATCTAAATAAAAAACATAAATATCATTTGATTTTTGTGCTTTGGTAAAAAAAAATCAGTACTGTAATATTATTTTAAAGAGATAAATGAAACTTCATCATTGACCTTAGAGTGAGGGCTCTATAATTCCAGAGAATGCAATCAGTATTTATTTTATTGACAAGTATCAGTGTAGAGAGAAAGTGTGTTGCATTTAACAAAGTATGCAGAAATAAAATTCCATCTACCATATTTAATATTTTCATTAATAATGCTGATCTAAAATAAAAATATTTAAATGTGCTAAATCTCATCAATAGTTAAATATAAATTATCACTGAAAACTGGAGAAAGTTAGTACTTAAAGTGTACTGAGAAAGTAATGTAATTCCCTTGAGAAGAAATGTCAGCATACAAGTAATGCTAAGGATCTAATGACTTTATATGAGTCTATATTCACTGTTATGAACAGCAAGTAAACGTTTCAGAGGCAAATAGTGCATATACTAAAATGCAAACCTGAAAAAATGTAAATCAATATGCATGTAATATATGCAAAATGTAAAGAAGGACTCTTAAGATAGACTCCACTGGCTAGGTAGTGCTTTACCTAGTTGGCTTAGGTATCCAAAGAGAGCTTTCTCAGTCCCATACTACTTTAATTTTATTATTTCAAAAACTAACTGTAACATAAACTAGTAACTTCAAACTAATTAATGAGGATCAGTAATAATTACTGACGGGTAAATTGTTAGGTGCATTTACAGTGACATGTGAGACATCACATGTCATCATTGCTGCTGGAGGACACAGAGGAAAAACTACATTATTAGTTTAGTAAACTTGGAGGAGGACATGACCCTAAAGTTACCATGTCCTGGGGCGTATTTTAGATTTCAATGATTAATTATATGGGTCAGACATATAGACGATGTCCCCTGTAGTAAATAAAAGCAATAAAAATATGTGATTTAACAAATATCTATTATATAATTGCTTCCACTGTCAGTCAAAGGGAATTTTTCTAGGCCAAACCAGGGAAATAGAACATTTTCTCGGAAATGATAACTGAGATACTATACCTGGGAAAGTGTAAATAATAATAATAATAATAATGTTTAACTTACTGACATTATTAGAAAAACCAATTAGGACTTTTTGTAAAAAAATAAACCAGAACATTTTCCCTCCCACTGCAGCCAGTATTCTCCTGCAAAAATAGAGATATTTAGTGTCTTTAACATATTCTAAGAGAGTCTATTTAGAAAATATACATCAAAATTGAAAATTAAGATAATCACATATATATCTGCAATCCTTCACTTTAGAGTGAACGTGAATGAGAATATAACTCTACAGTCCACAATGATTAAGCATTCTTCCCAGACTACTTGTGAAGATGGATCTTCAGTTAGCAGCTGTAACAGACGATAGTCTATTTCTGCCACAGGCTGCCCTTAATTTAAACCGTTGATTAATAAGAGCTACTACATCCCTAGAAATGAACACTTACTTTGATACGTCGAGTAGAAAGTCATTCAATTCAGTCTGTTTGGCAAGGCCTCTGCATACCTACCATATAAAATAATAGCTACAATTATAAGAGATTTCTGCTTATTTAAAAATAAAACTTCCAGAATACTAAGTACCTTATTTATTGAAAGAAGGCCTAACACAATCACTTGGATTATAATGTAATAATAATATCAATAACCATTAATATTTACTGAATACTTAAATGTGCTAAGCATTGTTCTAAGCACTTTATATTTATTGTTTCAAGCACCACAAAACATTATAGGTTTGGAAGTTACATTTCATAATGGAGTTATAAAGATGTTAAAAACCTTACTGAGGCTTCAGAACTAATAAGTGATAGAAGCACCATTCAGGTCCGGGTAGACTACCCAAGTCCCTCTTTAGAACTACTTTACACTGTACTTCTAAAAACTGTAGTTGAGCACATATTCCACCTACACTTGATAATTCAAGAGTCCTTTCCACTCGTTCTATTATACTACAGCTCGATTTTTCTTCCTAGCATACAGTTCCTCCCTCATCAGCTTCAATTTGCTGAAACGGAAGTAGAAAAATAAAACCACCACCAAAAAAATTAAGAGAGAGAGGGAGAAGATACAAAGAACGCTATATTGCTACCATGTTCTTGAACTTTAAAGTCTAACCACCAGTAAAACTCTAAGTAGTTTGTCAGTTTTACATTAGGTAATATCTTCAAGAGAACCAGATATCTTAAAGTTAGAATGTTTCACAGACCACTTAGAGGAAAATTTAACTTAAGAAATGGAATCGGCCGGGCGCGGTGGCTCAAGCCTGTAATCCCAGCACTTCGGGAGGCCGAGACAGGCGGATCACGAGGTCAGGAGATCGAGACCATCCTGGCTTACACGGTGAAACCCCGTCTCCACCAAAAAATACAAAGAACTAGCCGGGCGAGGTGGCGGCGCCTGTAGTCCCAGCTACTCGGGAGGCTGAGGCAGGAGAATGGCGGGAACCCGGGAGGCGGAGCTTGCAGTGAGCTGAGATCTGGCCACTGCACTCCAGCCTGGGTGACAGAGCGAGACTCTGTCTCAAAAAAAAAAAAAAAAAAAAAGGAATGGAATCATAAAAATATCAATGCAACTCCAGTAGAAGATTATTCCTAGATTTTCAGCACGACATATGCCATTTATTGCATAAATACATACATATACACACACACACACACATATATATGCATTATACATACATATATATATGTGAATGCACACACATGTAATTGCAGAATATTTAAGGCAGGGAGTAAGTAAATATAACTGATTAAATTAAAATTTCTAGAAATAATAGAATATTATAATGTCCCAAAATAAGGCATTAGGTGACTTAACCTCTACTCCAGTCTTCAATGCTGTGCTCTAAAAACATTCTTCTCCCTTAGGAAGCCCCTGTAAAAACACCCCAAAGACTCACCTGCACCTGATGTATTGCTACTGAAGCCCAGGCAAGATTTGCTGTTGCAACCTAAAAAAAATTAGAAACACATACCTATAAGTAATAATATGTATTTCATATATGTATATAACAAGCTTTTATTAGTCACATGTAGTCATCTCAACAAAGGACTGGGGCATACATGTATATGAAGAATTTTCTGAGGTCACTGAGCTTTTGAACATTTTCCAAACACAAAGCACCAAATATTTACAAGGTTTTTCTTTTATATTTTTCCCCTTCTATTTAATTGACTTTAATGTTCTCTTGTTCATCTTAATTTTGAATAAAATGGAAAACAAACTGATTGTTAAGAGAGCTGTAGCCCAATGATTTTAACAAAATTATTATTTTTCAGTTTAACAAAAATGCTATTGAAAAGTAATCTAATGACCACTTTAAATAATGAAATATTTCTAAAATGTAAAAATCAAATATATATTTTTTATATATATATATATACACATCAGCTAACAAGTTCCTCAAAATTACTAGCTATTCTACTTTTATTATTCACTCATTCAACAAATATTCATGAGTGTCTATTATGTACCAGGCACTATTCTAGGTGCTGGAGGTACTGTAGTAAATAACAGAAATGGAGTAGCTTTCAGTGTACTTCAGGGAGAAGCACAAGCAAGGAAATAAGTATAGCATATAATATACTAGATGGTGACAGGTGCTACAGAGTAAAAGCAGCAGATAGAGGGAAAGAAATACTGGATAGGAGCCAATCAAATGTACATGAAGTGTTCAGGGAGGGCCTTATAGATAAGGCAACATTTGAGGAAATTCCAAAGGATGTGGCTGTGAGGGGGATAAGTGGAGAGAAGAAAAAATGCAAAGGCCTGAGTAGTCGCCTGTCAGCCTTGCCTGAGGATGCAGCATGGCTGGAGTGAGTGAGGGACAGGTGGGGTAGCAGGAGATGGGTTCATTCAGGCAAGTGGACAGGAGTTAGGCCACTGAAGGGAATTGGTTCATACTGGATATGATAAATATCATGTTAATATTTGCTTTTAGTATTAATGAGCCAATTCAGTGAATAGTGAATGGAATTCAAATGTATTTGACACTAGAGCCTTTTATTCAGGACACAAACTAAGGAAAAGACATTTTAAAGAAAACATAAAGACAACCAGAGTGCGAAACATCTCCAAGGTCATTCTACTACTTTCTATGACTCAGAATATGGCATACCTTTTATTGTTATACTGGATTTTACTTAACAAAAGGACCATATTTCTTATGTAACCAGTTTCCTCTCTAAACAGAAACAGGTTTTAGAATCATCATTATTAGTATCAAAACACTGTTAAGCAAATTGTGATTTTAAATATTCATTCATGTATTTTCAGTTTAGTATTACTTAGCAATACTAACAAGCACTTTCAGTAAGCTAGGTACAACTAAAAATTCTAACATGCAGCGTTTAAAGAGCTCACCTCCTGGTGACTAAGACAGAAGGCTTCTTTGCCCCAGTGCCGATACAGCTCAAGAATACCAATCAAGTCACCAATTGCAGTGACAATTGGTAAGCAAAGAACAGACTGGATACGAGTCCCTGATTCCAGTCCAGTACCTCTTGGAAATCGCTCATCCTGAAAAACAAAAAGAGAAAAAGACATCAATTCAGTGACATGATCATTAAGTTATGATTCTTATTTCTATCAGAAATTGCCATGATACTTGTAATCAATAATAAGCAGTACTTTTCAAAGGAAAACTAAATGATGATAGCCACCATCAATCTTATGTAAGGAAATGCTTACTTTTTCATGGAACTTATACCCAAATATTACTTTAACATTTCTTTATCCTTATGCAGTATACATTGAATGAATGATGAATGTTAATTTCATATAATAAAAATAATCATAAATGCTGACATCATCTTGTATGTGCTAGAACACTCTCAGGGTATTTACAGGTACAATGCCGCAGAGAAAATTACTCCAAATGTAAACACTATGTGAAGAAAATTATATGTAAACTTTTTTTCTACTTTTAAGCCTAGAGTAACACAAAAGTGTATGTTAACAACAGTCATTCTAATTGAATCTCAAAGGCCTATAGTAAGTATTCAAATCATCTAATAATGATCAATTATTTATCATAAGAAATGAAATTGGTTCTTTGATTTTTAAATAATTTTCTAGCTTAGTAAAGTTACTCAAAGGAAGTACAGGGAAATTGAATGAATTAATATCAAAAGCACCAATTCTATTTATTCAAATTCTACTGTCTGTAAGAAGCTATCAGGATGAATTAGAGCGTCATGAAATAGTATAACTCTGTACTTGTAATTTACAGATCTTTTGAAAATGTACATACACAATAGAATATTTTCAAATGAGAAGTTATATAGCATTGGCCCTCCTCTCTCCTTCCCTCCCTTCTTTCCCTTCTCTCTTTCTGTCTCTTCCTTCCTTTCTCTAGCTACCCAATTTATTCAAGGTCATACAAACAATGGTGGAAAAATCAAAACTAAAACTGAGGATTCATGGCTCCTATTAGCACTTAGAGCAATTGTTTTTTACACCTGTATACTTGTTACCTTTAAAGTCTATATTCCATGTCATAAAATTTCGTTAAAATGTCCACATGTACTATGGAAGACTAGACTGAGGGCTCCAACTTGTCTAGTTTCTCTGTATCTATGTCCTTTGTTAAGGATCAATACCAAGTCTGGGCCTGTCCATGTGATTTGCTCTGGTTAATGGGAGGGTAGTAAATTTGATGTAAGCAGAGACTTGAAAACTCACTTGTATCTTTCACACTACTTCTTTCAGACTCCTGCTACCATGCCAAAAACAAGCCAGGATAGCCTTACTGGAAGGGGATGAGAGGCACAGGGAAAGCAGAGGGCATAAGAGGCCAGCCAGCACCTAACTGATGGCCAGTTGACCTCAGACACATAGGCAAGCCCAACTGACAGCAGTCCAGATCAGCAGAATAACCCAGTCCTTAGATTCATAAGAAATAACATGTGGCTACCGTATGACACCACTAAAATTTGAGGTAATTTGTCATACAGCAATAGCTAACTCATTCATATGCATCCTAGCAAAATATGAAACATAAAACAGTAATCATTTAGTTTACATTCATATAAATATACACGGTATTTTTGTGTTAACTGTACTGGCATGTGTTGAAATAAGAACTGTGCAAATTTAGCTCTTAGTTGGTAAAGGGAATTTTCTGAGTACAAAAAATTAACTTCCACATCAATATACTGACCTGTAACTAGCTTTAAAGCTTTTTAAAATGAAACAGTTTAAATTATAACATCAAAATGATATGCCATCTTTCTTAATTAAACACTTTAGGTTAAAAAGATCACACAGAGTCAAAAAGCCACTTACTCCAAGGATGTCTTCGACTAGCAATGTTTTCCTGGACTTGGCCACATAAGCAGAGACGGTGGTGCCCTGAGTGATGGGCCCAGCAGGGATGAGGCGGGGCTTTCCTTCCTTTATCCCGGGTGGTGTGAATATGCACAGGCTCTAGGGAGAAGAAAAGATGTTTTACAGACTTCCCTGTGCATATGCATAGTACAAAAAGGCACACGTGAGTCTTACTCAATAGTCATAATAAATCTGTGAGTTAATTAAAAGAAGAGTCATAAAATGAGGAAAGGTGCTTTGCCATGATCAAACCAGATTATCTAAAGTGAAACTATCTCACATTTCCAATTCACAAAAAATGCAAACTCAAATGTAAAACTTGGATGTACAGGCACAGAAACACTCGTCAAACAGCCTCCTATTCTGATACACAGAAAATAATGAAATCAGAAAAAATACCTCCCGTGATTGGGATCAAGATTCTATCAGACCACAAACACACACAGGGTCCAGCCTCCCTATAGACGTGATACATGTTACGTGAAGATAGAATCAGTAGCCGCAAGTCAAGTGATTTGGTTACATTCTTCATTTTCATTAGAAATCTTCCCTTCTCAGAACCTTCTCTTTATAAGACTCACTCACATTGCTTCGATGGCTAGTTTATAAAACTGCAGATTCAGAATACTCTAGATGAAAAATTTGCTCTTCTCTGAGCAAAAATCTTGACAAAATCTGAGTGATCCTTCCCCTTTCAAATGACTGGGTGGGAAGGTAATGTCTTGAAACTATTTTAAAATAAATCGTTTTTTAAAAATAGAATCAGTTATTTTGATGAAATCCAAACATATGTTAAAACTACTTTCTACTAAATAAGAATTGCTACTTACATCACGTAGAAATTGGGGGCAATGTTTTGACATAATTGTATTACGATTATCTACAAAATTTGAAAATACTAAGGTTTAGGTAAATTTCCCACAGACTTCACTTTATTTTTATCTTATGTTGGATTACTCTAACTAAGAACGAAGACAATTTGAAGCAGTAAGTATTAGACAGCCCTCTTAACCTAAGTACCTTTCTACAATACTTGTTATTATGAAGGTAGTTCTAAGGATGAGACAGATATATTTGTTAACTTATCAGGTAAGTGGTTTTTAAGCTTTGTAAAATTACAGAACTCTTTCTTTCAACATGTTAAAATCAAAAGAGAATGAACCCCATTAACTTGACTTAATAAATCCCATAAACTTGGTTTAATGAACAAGGAGGAAGGGAGAGGAAAGCAAGGCTTTGCTTTAACCCTGGGTGCTTTAAATTAATAACAAGTATAAATGATTAGAAGTTAAGTTCAAAATACCTGCATTTCCAAGTATATCTACATAGGGCTATGCTTAAGTCGTATTTGCTGTTAAGTACAATGCATGTGAAAAATTTATTTTAAGTAATTATTTTGAAAAGAACGAAGCTATTTAATATTTCAAATAGAAAGTATATACTTATGGATTAAAATTTTCATATATGATGAATGACAGCTGCAACTTAGTTATTCTTTAAAAGGCTAGAAAAACCATTTTCTAGTTACTATAACTACATTAGGCACCAATATACACATGGCATAGAGTAAGACTCTCGTTAGATTCAATATCTATCATTGTCCAAATACAATTCAGTTTGTCACCCTTTCTTAAGACAGAAAGAGTAGAAAGGTAATTCAAGAACAAAAAGGAGATAAATGCAAGAAAAAAAAATTTAAAAAGTGGTATATTTAGAATGAAGAAAAATTAGAATTGACAATGATTTTCTCAAACTATAAGGAAGCAACTGTCCCTTTTCTGTACCAAAGACAGAACTGCAGGAAGTGAACATAAATTGAACCGAGTGGTTTAGATAACTCTTAAAGAAGAACATGTCATAATGCAAACAGAAGGTGAACTCTGGAGCAAGCCTCCAACAGTAGCTCTGAATTTTTGTGGGGGGTGTGGAGGGAGTCATAGTTTTTGGCTGCATTTGTTTGTTTGAAAAGGTAAAACACACATCTTTTTTTATGACTTAGCCGTAGGCCCTTTAAGGCTGAATTTAATCGCATGTTCAAGTTATATGTAGCTTCATAATCCAATAATAACGGACTATCTTATACATTCCTACATTATTAGATGATCATATATTCAGTAGTATAAAATATGTACTGCTTCTGTGTAGGTTTCATATGATACACAAGTAACAGATAAGCAAATACTGTACCCGAGAGTGTATGGAAAGCTCTTCTGTCTATTAAGTTTGCTGAAAATGAAAGGTTTAGAAGTCTTTTAACTACTTGCTAGAATATGAAAAACTTCTCCATGTAGTTAAAAAATAATTATCAAAAATCGACTAATACTTTATAGTGGAAGCTTCATACTTGTTTTCCTAATTAGCTCATGATTTTTGTTCACATTAATCAAACAGAAATATTTCCAATGAGAGCTGAGGATAATTGCTAACAAAACATTGAATACATTGCGATATGAAGGCCAAAAACTCCAGCAGACGGGAAAATGAAGCCTAACCTCACAACACACACTTGTTTCTGACATGTTTTCATGGCTCCACTTTCCCTCCTTTATATTAGTGGTTCCCTACTCTGTTGTTTTCGTTTCATTTGCCTCCAAGCAATTTACCTGCAAAAGCTCCCTTTTTAACATTCATTTCTAATTGAGGATCAGTCACTGGTTGGAATCACATGTTTTGCAGAAGTATTTTTTTAACTGATTTTTGTAGTTGAATGCATTGATAGGTAGCTACCTGTTACAAATATAAAAAGTCAATAATGAACCTCTAAAATAGAGGTTGAATTTTACACATATTCAGGGCTAGGGAAAAGTTAATTCAAACTCCCTTTATTCCACAGATACTGTCAAGTAGGAGGTCATGGACTGAATCATCATTTTTCCACTGATTGAACTGTCACCTTCATCATACACTTCATCCTCAAATATACTTTAATTTTTAATTTTTTTGAGACAGAGTTTTGCTTTTGTTGCCCAGGCTGGAGTGCAATGGCGTAATCTTGGCTCACTGCAACCTCTGCCTCCTGGGTTCAAGTGATTCTCCTGCCTCAGCCTCCCGAGTAGCTGGGATTACAGGCATATGCCACCACACCCGGCTAATTTTGTATTTTTAGTAGAGATGGGATTTCTCCATGTTGGTCAGGCTGGTCTCGGACTCCCGACCTCAGGTGATCCACCCTGCATTAGCCTCCCAAAGTGCTGGGATTACAGGTGTGAGCCACTGTGCCCCACCTATCCTTAAATATACTTGGGTCTGTTTCTGAATTCCCAATTCTGTATCATTGGGTTTACTTGTAGACCACAGTTTTAATTATTATAAAAAGTTTACACTACATTTTGTGATTTGGCAAGGCAAATCCTGACTTAGTTCTTAGTATTTCAAAATAATCATGATTTATTTTATAAGCTATACACTTTGGCCTGGGCACAGTGACTCATCCTTCTAATCCCAGGGCTTTTGGAGGCTGTGGTAGGAGGATGGCTTGAGACCAGGAGTTCAAGATCAGCCTGGGCAACATAGTGAGACTCCACCTCTACAAAAAATAAAAAAATCAGCTGGGTGAGGTGGTGCATGCCTGTAGCACTAGCTGCTCAGGAGGCCGAGGTGGGAGGATCACTTGAAGCCAGAAGTTTGAGGTTACAGTGAGCTAAGATTGTGCTACTGTACTCCAGCCTGGGTGACAGAGCGAGATCCTGCTTAAAAACAAACAAACAAACAAACAAAAAAGATATATACTTTGCATTTCTCATTGGTGAAGTATCTACATGAATGCATTAATCATTAATAAAAGATTAATGTAAATAAGTTCTAAAGACATTTACACAGGAAATAGGGACTTCATTTTTCAAAATCAATATAATTGCTGACTTAAAGATTTGACTGGGATATTCAGATTAATAACATAAAAAACCTTATGCTCACTATTTTCATAGAAGGATGAATAAAAACACTAGACACTATTTTAAGAAGTATTAAGCCTCTTATCCATATATTTACAATATCAAATTTATCTATAATATCCAGAGTTGAACTGAGTCTCTAAGATTAACTCCTGCTCTACTATTGTATAAATATATGAAAACTGTAATTGGAACAAGCATCTTTTAGAGGTCAGAGATAAAAACCACAACTAAAAAATAAGGAAAACCTTTAAAGTTTCAAACATTAGCCACCTCTATTGTTTCCAGAGAAGAAAGTAACTGCCTTCAGGATATCTACTTGACCAAAGGCTGCTGTAGTTCTTTAGCATTTGAGAGTTCTAGAGGTGAAGGTGACCACTAGTCGCTCCACCTCTCAACTAGCATCAATGAGACTGCCCAAAGAGGAGAAAATCAATCCTATCAGAGTCCAGGAAGTCCTAGGGGAGGAATCAGCTTTTAAACTTTTCTAAGAAACTCACTATAAGGTAGCTAATATTTTGTGGTAACAGCAAATTTTGGTATCTATTTCTAAAGAGATAATTTAAACTAGAAAAGATTGGGTGCACAAGTCATAATCAACAGGTTGGTTCACTAAAGGAATTAAAAACATTCAAATTATAAAAATGTAAATTTGGGGAAATAAATTGATTTGGTGGAAAATGAACAAGAGAATAGACTAATACAATTTAGAAAAATACCATCTTTTAATGAAATGGAAAAATCCAATTCATTGATATCAGCCAAAGAGATGTTTACTTCACTTGGTTAACACTTGCCTTCATCTTTCTTTCCATGTACAATTCAAACATCACTTTACTCATGAGACTTCAATTCAATGTTAAGACTTCAACTCACAACCAGTTAAATTTTAGAAACAAGGTATTTAGGTTTACCAATAGGCTATTATCCTTTTAGACACTAGATGGCACTGGATAGTAAACAAATTTAGATCTATGTAGATGGCCGTAAGTAAATAGCTCCCACATTTACCTGGAACTTGATATATGGATGACTAACTTTGTTTGCATAATTCTTAAAAATAAATCTGCTGAAGTTCACTGTGCACTTGAAAAAGGCAAACAATTACTATAAACTACCAGGTCTGAATACGAAGAATGCAATACTTCCGGTGAATGTTTAATGCATACATATTGAAGCTAAAACTTCAGATTCTTCCGCTCTTCC